ATTAGGAAATTTTCTTCGGAAATAACTCAATATGTTTATCTACTTTTTATCGCAGTTAAGCAGCTTTATACCGCAGTTAAGCAGCTTCATACTGTTACTGTACTAATTAATTGTTTAATGAAGTTAATATGTTACTCTAAAATAACATTGAAAGTCTTGTCTAATTGCAATTTAATGTTTACCTTATAAACAACTTTTTAAAAATTACAATGTAACAAAAGTAGCAATCAAGTTTTATTTTACCACTAAGCTAATTTAAACTGTACTAATCTAGTGTAGATTCTAGATGTACTCCTGTTTTCAATTTTAAATAGGGACCTAATGCCGTATATTCTTTTAAAGATTGGATTGGTAAAAATATTTGCCTTCAACTGTAAAGATCCTAGATTAAGATTAGTTACAATTTGAAAGTTTTAGGTTCATGTGATGGAAAAATGAAATGGACCAGGTTAACTAAAATTAGAAAGGGTCTGACTTGTGAACCAAAGTTAATCATTTTGATAGCCAAGCCACATCGATATTGTTAGGGGTCATCCGCGTTTTTTTTGACGATATTTACCTCCCTTCTCTCCTACAAAAGCCAGACTCCTCCCTCCCTCCTCGAATTGAATTTTTTTTAACATCCATTTTTTTTTCTAAAATATTGACTGAGGTCGACCAACATAGGGTATTTTATTCAATTTCTATTACAATGTTTTACAAGTTTTCCAAAACGCGTAATAGCGGCTAAAATGCAGTTGTTTCTAACATTACTTTTTTTTTTAAAATACAAAAATATGACGTTACACTATCTTACGAGTGAGACGTTATTAATGGAAGACCCTTTATTATAAATTTAAAAACAGTCTGTACGTATTTTTTCTTCCACAAACAAGACACGGTCGTAGTCACATTGAGTTTAGTATTTTTTTTAATCTGTAAGCCCACGAAACATACGTATTGCAGGAACAGCTATTTGAAATTGACTGTGACGTCATTTTTTTTTCAACAAGCGATACCGAACACGTACTTGGGGTCAAGGTGAGGTCACAAGAGCCACCATTGCTACGAGGTGGGGCGGGTTAGTCTAGTCCTCGTAGTCACCTTTTGCAAGGATATTAATTTGAGATTGCGAAATAAAATAGAATCAGAGAGAAACTGTAGATTTAGGCGGGTTAAAATACCGTTAGATATATTAGGCTATATCGATAGCTAGATTATCAGGCTTAAGAGATGTAAGTTTCATATGAATAACTGCATTATTTTAGATTACCTTTTCCCGTGTTTTTGATAAATAGTTAACTGAAAATATCAGCGAAAAATTTGGACTAAAAAATTGTGCTTTGAAAATTTCGTAAGTCCGCCGAAATTTCGAATCTTAATCTACATTTAATCTTGATCTAGCACCGTCAGACCTAGCGCAATCGACCAATCGAAAAGAAATGCGCATATTCGAGTGTCCGTTTGACCTAAGTACAGTAGTTGTCGACTTAAATTTAAATACGAATAAGTGGAATGAGCATATCGGCCCTTTCCGTAGAAGACATTTCCGTTTTTTTTTCCTAATGTAAGCCCTGCTAGGGGGGGATACCTTAAAATCTATCTTACCCTTCCCTAGGCTTATCTAACTAACTACTGTCCGGTCAGTGCAAGCCCGGCTAAACCCAGGCTGGTTAATAACCTAACCTTAGTCTAAATTAAAAACAAAAAAACTTTAACAATAATATAAAATTTATTTCACAAAATAATAAATATGGAACCAAAAGTTATTATAAAAAAACCAGAACCTAGATCTAGACAAAATAAAACACTCAAGACATACAAAACAAACAGAACTCAACGAAACAAAACACCCAATTTCGGACTTCGTCGTTACCATACACCATATAAACGTGTCACAGAAACTCTTTAACACACAGGCCTCGACATTCCAGCCGAATGTCCCTCCCTGTCGACACCCCACATTCACGAACAAAGAAACCAATACTACGAACAAAGAAACCAAAGCTACGCACAAGAAAATAGTCCCTAATACAACAATAACTTACATTCAGGATATAAAGTGGAGCCACACTCCAAAACAAAGTTTGCATAAATAATAACATTAAAATATAAACAAGACACAATAACCAGGCTACAAACCATTGTAAAATCAAAATCATATCAGCGCCATAATAGCGGACTACTTAACTAAAAACCACAACAATCCTCAAAGGAACATAAAAAGCGACATTCGCCTTCTTAGTTACAAATAATTATAATAACAGATAAACACACTCCAGCCGCTCACATACACGCCCCTTAAAGCTTGCGGTCACTGCAAGCTAAATAACTTGAAAAAAATCAGCCCACAGGGCACAATCATAATTTTACAAAAATACAAAAACTTTGCACACTCACAATTTTGCAAAAGAACTTGCAAAAAAATCAGCCCGCAGGGCACAATCATAAATTTTACAAAAAAATCAGCCCACAGGGCACAATCATAAATGTTACAAAAAACAAAATTCTGCAAAAAAATCAGACGATGTGGCTGTAGCAGCCGGCGGTACAACTTTGACCGGCCTTGGGGAGGGCGGTTGAGCCTTGGGAGGCACATATCTCCTAATCTGTGTACTGGCCACCCGGCGGGTACCAGAAGGGCCATCTTTCTTTTTAATGGCGTAACCCCCGCCGGTGATCGGAGGTAATTCGACAACGACATAAACTGTCGGGCCGTCCAGGTCTGCCATTTTGCGTCTGCCAAGTGGGGGTTGTCTCAGAAGGACCAGGTCGCCTATGGCCAGTTCAGCTACAGGTGCCTTTTTGACCTGTTTGTCCTTCTTGCTTGACTCTGTCTGGGGGCATGCCCCAGCACCACCACCCGGTGCCTTAATTAAGGATGGGTTAGGTGGAACCATTGCCTCTAGTTCCTCAGATTGGTCCACCTTTACACTGGTTATGCTGGCGCGTAGGCAGGATGTTGGGCCTGATACCACTGACGGATCTGGGTGAAAAGGTTGGTCTAATGGCTGTACCACCTTGTCGTCCTTCATTCTGGAGTCTCCTTCCGTCGTCTGAATGGTTGGTACACTCTTGGCAGGCACCAGAGTCCTTTCGCGGGGGCGGAGGACCTTGTCCCCTCGCCATACCTTCGGTGTCACTTGATTCCCTTTGGGCACATATTTCTTTGCCATATGGCAATGACGGGCGAGGTGACCCCTCTGGTGACAGTTAAAGCAGCCCTTTGATTGGACCTCCGTGCGCTTGCGAGGTGCTTGGCGCACATTGGAAAATTTGGGGTCCCGCGTAAAGTGCTTCAGCAGAGCAGCAAGCTGCTCTGTGAGCCTGTTGACTTTGTCCTCCAGCTTGGACCTGAACGAACATTTTTCAATGGGCCTGGCATTTATTGCTGCCACGTAGGCAGGTTCAGCAAGAGGGTCCTCGTCTCCAGACCATCGAATGGCCGCATCACGTATGGCCAGGAAGGGGATCTTGGGGTCCCGGAAAATCAGCTCGTGCAGATGGCGTCTGACTGTGGCCTGGCTCAGGTTTTCCACAAACTGGTCTCGAAGAAACCCTGCATCAGTCTGTGGGACCTGCAGGGCACTCTGCCTCGTAACCAGGGTCTTGAAGGCCCTGTGCAGTCGGTGCGAGTAGGCCCTCACCGACTCGTGTTGGCCCTGTACAACCATCTGAAACTGGGCCATGAGCTGCGGTACTCTCCTCTTCTCGCCGTACACCTCTCTGAGGAGCCTGAGGGTGGCTTCTGGGTCGTGCTGCAGGTCATCACCCCTGCAGCTCAGCTCCACTCTCACCGCTTCCCCCAGGTACTGCCAGAGGAGGTCCTTCCTCTCTTCTACTGAGAGGTTTCCCCTGGCCCTCCAGAGGGACTGGACCTCTTTGATGAACCGGTCCACCTCATAGCCATGGCTGTCCCCATGGAACCTCCGGATTAGGATCTCCCTGGGTGGAACGATGATGATGGTTGGTGCCACCTCCGCCATCTCGTCCGAATTGGGTGTTTTAAACAACAAACGATTCCTACACTAAACAAAAATTAAACAAATATGGTTCCATAAAGGGCCTATCAAGAAAAAAATTTAACTAAGCTACACCTAGCCCTAGCAAAAAAACAAAAATTTAACTAGACTAAAGCACTGACCCCACTCGTGCTACCAATTTGTAAGCCCTGCTAGGGGGGGGATACCTTAAAATCTATCTTACCCTTCCCTAGGCTTATCTAACTAACTACTGTCCGGTCAGTGCAAGCCCGGCTAAACCCAGGCTGGTTAATAACCTAACCTTAGTCTAAATTAAAAACAAAAAAACTTTAACAATAATATAAAATTTATTTCACAAAATAATAAATATGGAACCAAAAGTTATTATAAAAAAACCAGAACCTAGATCTAGACAAAATAAAACACTCAAGACATACAAAACAAACAGAACTCAACGAAACAAAACACCCAATTTCGGACTTCGTCGTTACCATACACCATATAAACGTGTCACAGAAACTCTTTAACACACAGGCCTCGACATTCCAGCCGAATGTCCCTCCCTGTCGACACCCCACATTCACGAACAAAGAAACCAATACTACGAACAAAGAAACCAAAGCTACGCACAAGAAAATAGTCCCTAATACAACAATAACTTACATTCAGGATATAAAGTGGAGCCACACTCCAAAACAAAGTTTGCATAAATAATAACATTAAAATATAAACAAGACACAATAACCAGGCTACAAACCATTGTAAAATCAAAATCATATCAGCGCCATAATAGCGGACTACTTAACTAAAAACCACAACAATCCTCAAAGGAACATAAAAAAGCGACATTCGCCTTCTTAGTTACAGATAATTATAATAACAGATAAACACACTCCAGCCGCTCACACTAATTTTTAAAACTTCGTAAAAAAATCGACAAAAATTGAAAGTCGGCGAAAAATTCGGCAAAAATTAAATCAGCGGAGGAAAATCGCAACTGAAACGGAAAAATCGGATTTCCGCTAAAATTCGGAAAAGTCACATCCCTGAAACCTTTTCTGACAAAAAAACAAATTCAAATGGCTTAACTTCTAAATGAATTTTCTTGTGCTTGTTTAAAGTAGAATTGTCTGAAAACTTTTTATGACAATCATCACATTCATGTGGCTTATCACCAGGATGAACTCTTTTGTGCTTTGTAAAATTAGATTTGATAGAAAACTTTTTATGACAAACATCACATTCATATGGCTTATCTCCAGAATGAACTCTTTTGTGTTTAAATTAGAACGGTCTGAAAACTTTTTCTGACAAAAAACACATTCAAAAGGCTTAACTTCTAAATTATTTTTTGTGTGCTTGTTTAGAGTAGGACTGTCTGAAAACTTTATATGACAATCATCACATTCATGTGGCATTTCTGCAGAATGAACTCTTTTGTGTTTTGTAAAATTAAATTTGATAGAAAACTTTTCATGACAAACATCAGATTCAAATGGTTTATCTCCTGAATGAATTCTTTTGTGTTTCGTTAAATCAGAGTTCCTTAAAAACCCTTTGTGACAAAAATCACATTCATATGATTTATCTCCTGAATGAACTCGTTTGTGTCCTGTTAAAACAGAATAGCAAGAAAACTTTTTATGACAAACATCACATTCATGTGGCTTATATCCAGAATAAATTTTTTTATGTTCATTTAACCTAGAATTATCTGAAAACCTTTTATGGCAAGCATCACATTCAAGTGGCTTCTCCCCTACTTGAGCTTGTTTATTCAAGTTAGATCTTTGAAAAAACTGTTCATGACGAACATGAGGATAAACAGAGTGATATGTTTTGTCTTCAGAGAGTGTTAGCTTTTCTTCAAGTCCATTTTGTTGTTTGTCCTCAGAATCTAAAAAAATTGTCCATAAATCTGGTTTTATATCTTTGTTGGTTGATAAAGTTTCTAACTCTGGATTCATATCTTCCGTAGATGATAAAGTTTCTAATTCTGGTTTTATATCTTCACTGGTTGATAAAATTGCTGATACAGCAGGTTCCACATCTTTAAAATTTAAAAATCCTGTTGTTACATTTTGAGAAGTTAGAAATGTCATATTATGTTTTACATCATCAAAAGATGATAATGTACATTCTGCATTTATGTCTTTAGAAGACGAAACGTCTAGCATAACATCAGTTTCAACATCTTGTGAAGATATAAACGTCATGTTTGGTTTCATATCATGGAAAGTCAAAAATGTTGATAATTCTGTTTTTATATGTCAGCAGAAGATGAAAACACTGCAGATAGATCTGGCTTCACATCTTCAGAATTTGAAAATTCTGTTAATTCAACTGACTGTACATCTAAATCACCAGTTGCCTCTTCCATGTTGCACTGCTTCTTATAAATGAACTGGGGATTAAAATTTTTAATGTTAAAGTGGTGATTATATAAATCAGAACTAGTTTTTGTTTTTTTTGCGGAATGAAATCTCAAGTCTAGTATTTTAATTATAATTCAATTGTAGCATGTGCAGAAAAATTAAAATTATGGGTGCTATTATTGTATTAGTAATTTTTTTTTAGTATATTGATTTTTTATTGGGCCGACAGTAGCTGCATGGATAATTTTGGATAATTTTAAAATCCTTTTTTTGTCTTGGCATCTGAGCAAGCTAGATAATTAAATGTGGTCTCTAATGGTCTGTTAAATGTCATGGTATACGCGAAATAACAGAATATTTTATTTTAAAATTTCATAATTCAACCTATTCTATACATCCATTGTAACTTAGAATAAACTAGTATGCAGTTTTTTCTGACAGGGGCAGACATTCTACCCCCACAATCTCACAGTGAAAAAAAAAATGATTTTTTTAAAGTACTATTTCCTGTCATTTCTATTAGCACTGTAATGACATAAAAAATTTTTTAGCGCAATTTCCATTCTGGAGAATTGCGTTTATTAACTCGTCTTTTCTGGGAATGTATGAATGGATGGATGGATGTGTGTCCGCAGCTTTAAGTCGTATCTCCTCCTCAACGAAGCAATATCGAGGACTAGTTCCAAAGCAATTATGTTAAGCAAATTACGAGGATGAACATAGGCCATAAAAATTCCGGGTTTCTTTCATGGATTTCCCGGAAAAGCCAAAAAACCTCGAAAAAATGCAGTTTTTTTCCATATCTCGGCAACCAGACCACTTAGCGACTTGAAACATGTACCAATCGATTTCTGCCATAATTTAGAACAATATTGCCGAAGAAAGTTTTCAAAAATATCCTTTCGTTTGGTCACAAAATGTTTTTTGAATTAATTAAAATTTGGACCGAATTAGTAGGCATTTTATGCAACCACACCACACGCGTCATCACGTTCAATAGCTGCGCCATCACGTTCAATGGCTGCGACGTCACGTTCGGTAGCTGGGCTCGCAATGGTTTTTAGTCATGTTACTCTATTGTTAATAAAACATGTAAAATACTGAAAAAAATTAATAAAAAACGTTTTAATAACTAACCAATGGTTTTACTAACCCTGCTCTTGATTTACGCTACGACAGAGCTATTTTTAGATAACACAAGGAAATTGCGCTAAAATTGTCACTAGACTTTTTTTAATTACTTGTTTTTTTATACAAAGAAAGCTTCAAGTGAAAAATTAGGTAAGTTTGAACCTGTTAGTTATAATTTTAGCAGAAATGAGAATAACTTTACAAAAGAACCATTTTAAATTTAACTAAATTTTAAAGCAAAAAGTTTATTAATAAGCACAAAATTAAACAAAAAGATCAAGAAATTAGAGAATTAAAGTCAGCTGTTAGAAAACATCTAAAAACAATGAATTAGAAGTAGAAAACGATAATCTCAAATGTTTACTATTAGAGGAAGAGGAGGATAATGAAATTAAATCTAAAACTGGTAGGACTTATGACAAATAAGAAAAAGCATTTATCATCCCCTGCTAAGCCATATCCCAGTAGGAGTGTAGGTGGCACTTTTAATAATTTATCTTCTACGGTCCATAAAAAGTGGCTCAAATGTGTGCTACACCACAACCAGTTAGCTAGGATGGAATATGAACCAGGAGTGCTGGCAATGGTTCAAGCAGGTGAAACTATTGACAACTGTGAGGTTGCAACCATTGCATCTGATGCAACTACAGTTGTTGATAAGAATTTAGACACATTTTACTTGTCCACATCTCCCCAGATAAACTACACCATCTCTACAGCCAGACTTGCAGGCGGCAGGACATATGACTATGCCAGGCATATTCTGACTGCTCTAAAGGAAGTGGCTTATACTTATGCCGAGTACAACCAGATGCCACAACTTGTGGTGATGAGCTCTCTGAAGGCAAAGTACAGGAGCTACTTAACTGACAGAGCACCAGTCAACAAGTGTGTCCTCCAGATGCTGGAAGATGAGCTGAATGTGCTCCAGCAAACTGCAATATTCACCCTTTGGACACCATTGCAACAAGTGCCTGCACCAACCTCAGCTAGCTGAACAGAGAGTGAAACATCCAGGCTGTCAGTGGGAAGGATGGTGCAGCTGTGTCTTTAATTTATAACTTATCTAAACTGAGGTTAGTATTAAAGAAAAATTTATAAAATATATTGTATTGATGTGTGCATCTATCTCTCTCTGTATATATATATATAATGTATATGAACTAAATTTCAGATATAGTTATAAAGGAGTCCCATGTGCATTCAACTGTTTCTTGAAGCAGAATAAAGTCAGGTCAGCCTATGGCACACTCCAGTGAACTTGACTAAACAAAAAAATATTTGACCTGTGACCTTCATTAAAACAATTTATTTTTGTGTTTTTTTAATTATTAATAAACATGTGCTTAATCTTACCCGATAGGGTAAAGGAGGGCGTTAAGAGCAGTGAGGTATTAAGCCCCAATTAACACCCGACCCCCACAAAACCCCCAATAACACTGCTAATCTACTTCTGAGGTAACAACCACTGCTGTTCTTTGATAACAGAGAAGCAGAGGATTCATTTTATGTAATTTATGACCCACTTGGTCCAATAGGGAGAGGATGAGACAGGATTTAATCCCACTGCTCTTTCCTTAAAATTTCTCATCTCCATAAAACCATTTTGTGAACTTTTTTTCGAAATAGACATAACTTGGGAAACTTCACTTTGTAATAAACCAAATGAGTTTTTCAAGCCCATTCTTTGTTCCTGTGTTAGAGCATTGGTTGTTGTACATTTTAACACTATTTTTATAGCTATGGCTAGAATAGTTTTATTTTAATGAATTTTTTTTGCACAGTGATTATTGGTGCCAAAACAAAATGGCCGACATTTGTCCCATTTTACCATGCTGTTATGGACCGCTCTCCGACAGCCGCGGAGGAAGCGGACACCCCAGGTTCGTTTGGTATGATACCGATAGAAGTCACTTTAATGGAATCCCAACAACTTGCCGTGAGCTCGTTAATACTGTCTAGGGGTAAAACACGACAAATCGAAGAGACTCAACAAGACTTAAACTATCAATACCTTTTTAATTTATGTACAAGATATGACACTAGGTAAGTTCAAAATGTACAGACTCTAAGAGTACAATAAATAACTCAATAACTCCAACTTACAGTTTGAGAAAATCACAATATGTCACAGCCGTGGCTTAGTATATTATACACCACTAAAGATCAATACTTAGCACAACTGAATGGCATCATAATTACCACATAAACCAAGAAGAGACGTATTGCCTCTACAACAATAGAAATCCAAATAAAGGACAAACTATCACCGAAGTAATCATAAAGGTGCAATAATACACCAGAACAAAATAGTTGAAATACTACAACTTGCCACACAATACCTTATACAAAAGTGTTAATCATGTCACAAAATAACAATACTGAAAAAGTGTCACACATAACCCCCGGCACAACTCTCCTGGTCCAAAGGTCAATCTGGCTGCCTTTAGACATCAAAAAACCCGAGATTAAATACAACTCAGATTAAGGGGAAATAACTCAAAAGTCTTACGACTATTGGTTGAGGATCTGTCAGGGATCCTCACTCGCAAGACCATTGGTTGAGGTTCTGCCAGGGATTAAAAATACAATCACCTGATGTGACAGAGTTCAATTGACCGATTTGTACCGGTGAACTCACAATTCTCCCAAGGACAAATACATAACTCAGGAGATTAAACATAAATAAAACAAAACGACCTAAGTAGGTCACATCCCCTCCCTTTTAGAGAGGCATTTTTGTTACACAAAAATGGCAATCACTATATTGAACAAATATGACATAAAAAATGTCCAATTATAGTAACTAACAAAATTTCTGTCAAGAAAAAACATACTTAAAATTTAAAGGGAAACAATTCACCTTTTTACAATTTACCAAAGGGGAATAATCCTTCCCAAAATAATAATACATCAAAATTCCTTATGCAAAGGATAATAGTAACATATCCATCTGGATATAACAAGTGAGGGCTCGACCGGTATTTTGATTTATGTGCAAGTTTGGCACTGGTTTGAGGTTGTGATCTAGAGTTTGGTCAGAAGTTCAAATAAGTTGAACTAGTTATTGAGTAGTTGTTTTTGTTATCAGTTGAAGGTAAACATTGTACTTGTTAGCTATGGAGGCTTTGTTGTTAAGTCCTACTGTGGAAGCAGTTGAGAACTTAAGTAGGAAAAATTTGATAACAGTTGTCAAAGAGTTAAACTTGGAGTATACTGTTACGCAGACCTCTAGGGTGTTGAAGGACAAAGTTATTGTCTACTTCATTAATGAAGGTATGTTAGATGAGAGTCTCCTTTCTGAAGTTTTGGCACGGGAAGTGAAAATTGTTGATAGGGAGTTTGAGGCCAGACTAGAGTTAGAAAGAGAAGTTCAGATGAAGAGGTTGGAGTATGAGTTTGGTATTATTGGCAGTAGTTCGAGGTCAGGAGGTCCTTCTCAGTTGTCTGTGGCCCAAACATTGGCCCAGTTTTGCAAATTAGTCCCTAAGTTTGATGAGTCAGATCTTGTTGTATTTTTTAATACATTTGAGAACATGGCCGAAAGTTGTCAATGGCCTAGTAACGTAGTCACAACGTTACTAAGCACTGTTTTAATTGGTAAGGCTGCCACCACATACCAGGCACTCTCTCGCGAAGTCCAATCCGATTACAAAAAGGTCAAGGCTGCCATTCTGAAGGCTTACGAAGTAACTCCAGAAGCCTACAGA